TATTTAAATATTTTATTTAAATTTATATAATTATTTTTATTATAAAAAATTATATTTTTTTAAGTTTTTAAATCGAATAAAGTTAAAATTTTTTTCGTATTTTTAAATTTTATATTATAAAACGCTTTTTTAATATATTACTTTTAATTAAAACGTATATTATTTATAAAGATTAATTTTAAAATTTATATTTTTAAATATTAATTAATGTTATTTAAATTTATAATAAATATATTTTTTTAAATATTAATAATTAATTTTTTTAACTTTTTAAAGTTAAATTTAAATAATATAAAATTATTAATATAAAAGGTTATAATATTTTTAATATTTTTATTAATATATATAACGTTATTAATTATTAAAGGTTAATATTTTAATTTTTTTAATATTTTTTAAACTTTTTTTTACCATATAATTTTAAATTACTTTAATTTATATAAAAAATTTATTAATTTAATAATCTTTAATTTATTAAAGTTTAAATTTTTTTTTTTATTTAAATAAACGTTAAAATATTTTTTTAACATAAAAAATTATTTTATATATATATTTTTAATTAAGTTTTTATTAAAATACGTTATTATAAAATTAATTTATATTATATGCCATTTTAACGGTGTAAATAATGTTATTAAAATTTTTTATAAAATTATTTTAATTGTTATTATTTTTATTTTATTATAATTTATTTTTTTACGTTAAATAAAGTTATATACGTAAATATGCGTTTTAAATTTATTTAATTTTTCATTAAACAAGTATTTTTTTTTAATATTTATTTAAAATTTATACAATAATTATAAATAACTTTTTATAATAATTAAAAATTAAAAATGTTATAATAAAAGTTTTTTTTAATTTTTTTAAAAATAGTTTTAAATTATTTATTATATTTAAAATTAAATATTACTTTTTTAAACGTAGATTTATTATTTATTTAAAACGTTTTATATTATTTTATAACGTTAATAAAATATTTTTAAATAAAATTATTTTATTAAATTTATTTATATTTTTTTAAAAAATTATTTATTATATTAACGTAATAAATAATAAGGTTTATATAAAAATTATAATTATAATTATTATATAAAATATTATTAATTTTACTTTTATAAATAAAAATTATTATAAAAAGATTATTAACTTTATTAAATGTTTTATATATATATAAATTAAATATAAATTTTTTAAAACGTTTATATTTATATTTAATTTAACCGTTTTTTTCGTTAATAATATTTTTATTAATAATGTTATTATTATAGTTTTTTACTTTAATTTTAAAGATTTTAACCGTTTTTTAATAACGTAAACGTTTTTATATATAATTTAATAATAATTTAATAATGTTTTTTAAATTAAAAGTTTTATTATTATTTTTAATATATTTATAAAAAATAATGTATAATATTATAAAAAACTTTTTTTTTTTAAATATTTATATTATAAAATTATACTTTTTTTAATAATTTAAAAATATAACTTTTATTTTTTTTATATTAAATTTTTCGGTTATTATAACTTAATAATTTAAATCGATTAATATAACGTAATAATTATTAATAATTTTAAAATAAACGTTATAAAATTTATAATTTTTTTTAAATTTTAAATATATTTTATATATTTTTATAAACGTAACGCCTTTTTAATTTAATATTTTAATTTTATTAATAACGTATATTATTATTATAAATATATAATCTTAAAAATAAATTAATATTTTTATTATAATATATATAATTTTTATTTCGTTTTATAAAAATTATATATTTTTTTTATTACATTATTTTAATATTAATTATAAAGTAAAAATTAAATTAATTTAATATTTTTATTATAATAAAAAGTTTTTAAATAATTTATTTTAAATTTTTATTTATTATTAATTTAAAAAGTTTTAATTTATTTTTTAAAGTTATTAAATTAATTAAAAAAAGTTAAAAATATTTCGTAAAATTAAATAAAATATTTTATTAAAGTTTTAACGGTTTTATTTTTTATTTTATATATTATAAATTATTATTATATATTTTAATTATTTATAATTATTATAAAATATTTATTATTTTTAATTAAAACGAATTATAAAAATTTTAAATTATATTAAATGGTTTTATTAAAGTAATTTATTTGTTTTTAAAGTTTTTTCAAAAATATTTTTATAATTTTTATTTAATTATAAATAAAATAAAAGAAATTTTTAATTATTTTAATATTTATATTTATATTTATAAATTTATTAATAATTTATTTTATTTTATTTATATTAAAATGGTTTAATTTTTAATATTAAAAAATTAATTTATTTTTTATTTCGTTTAATAGTTTTAATATTATTTTATAAATTATTAAAGTTTTTTTTAAATTTTAATTATTATTTTTTATATTTATTTTTAATACATTTTTTTATTAAAATAATTTATAAATTTTAAGTTTAAATTTATTATATTTTTATAATAAAAAATTTTATTATTTTATATTTATAATTATAAAAATTATTTTATTAATATTTTAAATATATTTATTATTTATTTATTTTTTTATTTTATATAATAGTTTTTTTAAAAAAATCTTAAATAAAAAGCTTTAAATAAAAAAAGTATATTATAATATTATTTTTATAAATTTTTTATTAAAATTTTATAATTTATATTACATTATTTTTATTTTATTTATAAAAATTATTTTAATTTTTATATAAATATTATATTTTTTATTTAAAAAGTTAATTATTATTTTAAAAAAAAAATTATTTACATTATTTATAATATATATATTAACGTTTATATTTATAAAAAAATAATTATTATATATAAAATAATAATAAAAAATTAAATTTAATAAATATATTAATTTATTTTCCCGCGTAATTATTAACGTTATTAAAATCGGAAATAATTATTATAATTTATATTTAAAGTTTTTTTTAAAATATTAAGTATTATATATTTAAATTAAAAAATCTATAATATTTTAATTTATTTTAATAATATATATGTTATTTTTAATTTAAATATATTAACTTATTTTAATTAATAATTATAAAATATAAATTATTTAATTATTTTAATTATTTTAAATATCATTTTTATTATCATTTTTTAAATAATTTTTTTTTTATGTTTATATTTATTATATTTATAATAAAAAATTCCACTTTTTTTTACATTTTAATTAAATAAATGTTTAAAATATTAAGGTTTTAAAAGTTTAAATTTAAATTTTTTATTATTTTTTTAAAAATTATAAAATAAGTTAAATAATTTAAAGTTTTTATAATTTCGGAATTTATTAATAAAATTGTTAATAATTTAAGTAATTAATTATTTATATAAATAAAGTATTTTTTAAATTATTTTTATTTAATTTTTTACCTTTTTATTATAATTGTTTAAAAATATTATAATTTATTAATTAAATTTTAATTTTATATTTAATTTTTAAATTATTTAAATAATTTAACGTTATTTAAAATTATATTAAATTAAATTTTTACCATTATATTTTTTATTAATAAATTTCTTTTAAAATTCCTTTTAATATATTTTATTTATTAAAATATAAATTTAATTTAATAACTTTAATACTTTTATACTTTTTTTTATATTAAAAATTAAATTAAAAAAATTTTACTTATAAGTTTTAATAATAATTTTAAATATTTTTAAATTATTTATTAATATAATATTTATTTTTTTAATATATTTAATTTTCTTAAATATTAATATAAAAATCTTTTTATATATTTATTAATTAAATTAATTTTTTAAATAATTTGTTTTATTAATATTAAAATTAAAACGCTTTTATTTTAATATTATAATATTTAAAATAAATATTAACATTATTTACCTTTTTTTAAATCTTTTATTTAAATTTAATAATTTTATAAACTTTAATAATTTTTTAAACATTAATAATTTTACCGATAAATTTAATAATAAATTTAAATTTAATAAATTTAATAAATTTAATAAATTTAAATTATTATTTAAAATAATTAAATTGTTAAAAATAATTTTAATAAATTTTTTTTTTAACTTTTTATTTTATTATTTAATTAATGTTATTATTAAAATATTTTCTTTTTTAATTTAAAATTTAATTAATTTTTTATTATTCGTAAAATTTAATTTATTAAATTTTAATAATTTTAATAAAAATAATATAAACGTTTAAAAATTTAATAAATCTTTTTATTTTTACATTTTTATAAATTATATTAAATCGAAATTTTTTAATTTATTTATTAAATATATATTTAACGTAAATTATTTAATTAATTATTAATAACTTTATATATTTAAAACGTTATTTTATTTAATTATAATTTTAATTAATTTATTTTAAAAAATATTTATTTAATTTTTATTATATTATTACGTTTATTAATAAACGTTATTTATTTATTATAATATTTTCATTATATTTTTAATTTTAAATTATTAAAAAATAAGTTAAATAATTAATTAATTACCGTTTAACTTATTATTATTTTTATTTATTTTATAAAATTTATAAAATTATTTATTTTTTTTTTTAAATTTTTAATATAATTTTAATTACTTTATTATAAAACGATTAAATAATTTTTTTTAATTTTTAATTTAATTTTATAAATATTTTATTACCTTTTTTTATTAGTTTTTTAAAACGGTTATTTATTAATTTTATTAATAAATTTAAAAATATTTACAATTATTAATTAATTTAATATTTTATTAAAAATAATAAAATATTACTATAAAAGAATTTAAAATTATAATAATATTTATATTAAAATTGTATATATATTTAAGGTTATAAAAATTTCTATATTTATATGGTTATTTTATTATTACGGCAAAATACGTACTATCCGTCGTAACTTCTTAAATATACATACAAGCATTACTTAAGCAAGTGCGTCCCACAGCACTGATTAAAAAGGCACGTCAGTACGCCAAGGGAAAATTAGAAAATAATTTGATGAACATATTTTGACGTATACGGAATCAACTTCTCGTACAAGACCACGTAAATATGTAATCGTTAGCTACCTAAACAAGTTAACCGCGTTTAAGATCGTATAGATGTTACAATTACATTCAAATTCAAAATAGCCTTATAAAGAGACGATCCCTGAGGCCATGTCCTGTTCCCACGCTGGTGCAGCAACGTACCTATCCACAGTTGTTCTTGTATTATATAAAGAAAAGGTAGGTAGATAGATACTTGCGGGAATACCTAATATAATTGAGACTGTGAACAGGAGAAGAGCTACGATGGTTTTTATCAATAGTTGTTTAACATTATCACCACCTTTTGGATATCGCCCCCCTAGAAAATCTTCTTGGGCCTCCCAGGCTCCAACCAGAGAACCTTGTCCTTAATCCCCGCTTCGTCTAGCACACCCTTTAGCGACTCCTTAGCCTGCGAAAAGTGATCCCAAGCCTCGAAGTGCAGCGGCACCAGCACATCTGCGCCTAGCTCGCGGAACAGCCGGGCACCCTGAGCACCGTCCATCGTGATCTGCAACGGCTCGGACGCTCCCGGTAGCACGACGGCCGCCGCGCCGAGATTAAACAGAGCAAGCGAGACGTGAAAGCGTTCCCGAATACGCAACAGCTCTTCGAGGTAGATAGTGTCGCCGGAGAAGAATACGGCGTTCGGAAGGTCGCCTGTCTTTCCGAACGAGGGCGTCGTAAGAACAAAACCCGTGCACTCCCCACCGGGTAAGTGTTGGCACGGCGTAGCAGTCACCTCGAAGCGAGTACTGCCTATAGTCAGGTGTGTTGCTTCCCAAGGCTTCAAACCCTGTACGCCTGGTCTGGGGCGGAGCTTCGCGGCGCCGTCAACCGTGGTCAAAACACGCCGGCCGTCAAGCAGACGCTGCCGGCTTAACTCATCCAGGTTGTCAGGATGGTCCTCGTGACTGAGGAGGACGGCATCGATGGGTGGCAGCTGGGAAAGGGAGATGGCTGGTTCGTAGTGGCTAGTTAACTGAGCGATGCCGACATCCCATGTGGTGCCCTCGGGCGAGAAGTACGGATCGGTTAAAAAGGTAATACCGTCTATGTCTAGAATTGCGGTTGCAGTGCCGATATAAGTTACGGTAATATTGCTCCGAAAAGACGAGTCAGTCATGATGGGTTTCCTAGGATCAAGTATCCTCCTTTGATAGGCTTATATAATATATTTATTGTGCGTATCGGTTTATGATTCTTTTCTTGACTTTTTGAATATTATTATTTCGAATCGACGTTTCGCTCTGTGCTCTTTGGAATGCCATTCTTATATATTTACTCCCCTCAGGGGAATAGTTCCAGTCGGAAAATACCTCATGGTGACAAGTTTCAATCACGACATGAACTAAGTAAAGCTACTATCTGTAGCTTATGAGCTAGATGATGCTTACTATAACTCTTAGAAGCTACATACTAAATGATTGGTTGGAGACGTTGCTGACAAACGAAATAGTCATTTTCCATCAACATCATTAGTCATCGGACGGGGAGAAAAAGATCCTGTGCTAAATCGTCGTTCGTAATAGCGGCGTAAATTCTTTTAAAAGTCAGACCAAGGAATTATGATTATTGCTAACTTATTGACGAACTTTTGGCATAATAACATTACATTACCAAAATACATATAGAGAGGTAATTGTCATATTAAAATTTAGAGATAGAATTACGGATAAGATAAGGAGGAGAGAGATTTTGCTCAATATTAAGATACTGTCTATATGACTTGTCAAATAATGATCTTTGTGTTACCTAAGTGCGTTCTGCCTAAGTAAACGGGACCGGCGTCCGGATACGACGTAGAGGTTCCAGTCCCTCGGAGGATGGCGTGATCCAAATTGGCCCCAAGACTCCGGCAGTATACAGCAGAATATTAACGAGATGGAGAGCCGCATCGGTCGTGACCGCGGACACTTGCCGTTCGTTCTAGGCCGCTCAATTGGTTGCACCCCGAGGTAGCCGGAATTAAGGGGAGTTCGGCTAAATCATATAATACGCCGTCTGGTTTCTATTACGGGAACTGACCCTGAAGATCTGCAATGTACTCCAGAGTGCCGAGGCGATAAGTAATTTTGGCATCTATATCCCATCCATTTGGGTCTTTCTCTCGGGGGATGCGTACGCGCGTTCGTGGTCCAGGTCTATCGAATATGAAGATCCTGCCGAAAAGATGAGATCTACAAGGAGCCGAGAGAACGAATCCGCGTATAAGAAATATAAGACCAAGCAGTCGCCCGGGATGGATTGGAAATTTATAAGAAAGCTTAGGTACACTTGACCATTTAATCAATCTATTTACCATCGTTAACATGCTCGGCGCTAAAGCAGCTCTTGTCACCATACTTCTAGCAGCCACGGCTGTATGGTCAGATGTATCACCGGATGAGACGTGTGGCGTTGAAAAGGCCGGCGATAACAATGGCTACACCTGTCCCGGGGAGAAGAAGTGCTGCTCGGCCAATGGCTACTGTGGCTCAACGGATGAATACTGCCTGAAGACCGTAGGGTGTCAGAGCAAATACTCTAACGCAACAGCCGCTTGCATCGATCCCATTGATGGCGAGACGATTTCGCCTGATGGTACTTGTGGATCCGAAGGGGCTGGCCAGTACGGCTACCGATGTCCTACTGAAGGGGGATCTTGTTGCTCCATTGCGTACGTCGTATCAGGTCTCTTACAATTTACCGGTTCGAGAGTATATAACTTGCTAACAAGCCTCGTCTCAGGGGCTACTGCGGAAACACTACTGCTCACTGCCTCGCTGCAGAGGGTTGTCAATCGGCGTACGGGGAATGCCAGTAAATAAGGGTCTACGAATGATATCTGTGGGACTTTCTGTCTTTGCAATGGCAATGTTACAAACCATCGGGTCCTTTATGTGGAGGGAAAATTGGTAGGATTGCTTAAAAATTAGATGAAATAGTCCCCTTGAAGAAGAGATAATGTTCGAAAGGATTACAGCAGTTAAATATTGGATGTTAGGGTCTTCCGGAATTAAAAATCAAAATGAGAGAATATTTGTGGAAAGATAGTATGATATGTTCATATATACTTCAATGCCGATATAGTTCCTTTAACTAATACGAGAAGTATTTTTTAAGTGTTCGTAAAGACGGGCGCGGTAGATTAGAAACTTGAATAACTTGGGTGAATATAAATTATACTATGATTTTATACTAGGGCGGATGGAGAAAGTCTTGAGGTTCTCTCTATTGATGGCCGATCGCGGCCTTCGACTAGAGTGGGGGATTCTCACAACATACAACTTCAATTATATTTTGACAAATACAGGGAGCCAGCCAGCTATTCGTTTGTTATAGCAATTCGATACCATGGCTACTCTATTTCATAACGGCCGTTTTTTCCGGTCCGGGCCCAAGAACGACGACTATTCCTTCGCAGACGCCATGCTAGTTGACGTGTCCGGCAAAATCATTCACGTCGGCAGCATAGATGATGAGAAAGTCTCGGCGACCGAGGTTACTGATATAGCCAAACACAACCTTAACGGTCGTATAGTCTTACCGGGGTTTATCGACGGACACATGCATTTCCTAATGCTAGGGCAGTCCCTACAAAAGGCGGGTTTAGAGGCGTGCAAGGATCTACGAGACATCCGACGAACAATTAAGGAGTTCGCTGCTACACATCCGTCCGCGGCTCGTATAATGTGTAAGGGGTGGATGCACTCCATGACTAACGGGGAGGCATTGGCTAGCATGATAGACGATCTAGATCCAAGGCCTATGTATGTGATGCTAAGAGACTCTTTTGCCCCTTTTATTAACTCACGTTATTAAATAGCTTCATCGATTCCAAGGATCTGCACTCAACATGGTGTAATAGTGCAGCCCTGAGCGAGATGGGCGTGCAAGACATGCCCGACCCAGAAGGTGGAAAAATTCATCGCGACGAGAATGGCAAAGCATCAGGGCTCCTATCGGAGGCAGCAGCCGTCACAATTGTCTGGCCGCATATCGCAAAAGTCGCGCCGATGGAGGAGAAGCTCTCAGCATTGAAAGAGGCTGTCGAGGCGTATAATGCGTCTGGTTACACCGGACTCGTGGAGATGGCGATGGATGAAAATGCGTGGGAAGCTTTACAAATACTACGCGAGAGAGAGAGGCTACCAATTAGGATAGCTATTCACTGGCTCATCACTCCTCGGAAGACAGAAGCTGAAAACCTCGCTCAGGTTGACCGCGCAATCGAGCTTAATCGCCAGTTCAACGCCAATAATAGTCCAGATTGTCGTATTGTAGGCATTAAGGTCATTGGGGACGGTATTATAGACGGCTGCACAGCCGGACTCTCGGAACCCTATACCTCGAATGGAATATCGTGTGAGCCCATCTGGTCGCTTGCAGAGCTCGGGCCAGTCGTCAGAAAAGCAGATAGGGCAGGCTTGCAGTGTGCCTTACACGCGATTGGTGATAAAACCATAAGAGTTGCCATTGACGCTCTCGAGCAAAATGCTACGCCCGGCCGTAGACATCGGATCGAGCACCTCGAACTTGCGTCACCTGAAGACGCTAGGAGGTTAGGAAAGTTGGGTATTACAGCTTCTATCCAGCCGGTACACGCCGATCCGGCCATCCTCCGAGCGTGGCCGTCACTACTCGGCCCATCCCGGTACGAACGCGCGTTCGCATATAAAGAGTTTGCCGACGGGGGTGCCGTACTAGCCTTGGGATCCGATTCTCCCACTGCACCCCATGCACCGCTGAGAAATGCGTACACGGCGACAACGCGGCGCTCAGCCAGAGAGCCAGGCTTAACGGACCGGGTCAACCCGCATTTCGCGTTGGACCTGGCAGCAGCAATCGCAGCGGGTACGGAGGGTTCGGCTTACAGCTGCTTCGCAGACCAGTATACCGGTAAACTAGAGACGGGACGAATGGCGGACTTTGTGGTGGTAGACATGGAGTGGGATGCGAGTAAGCTGCTTGAGGCAAGAATTTTAGAAACCTGGTTCGGTGGGAAGAAGGTATTTGATGCCCAAGCATAGCTGATATCCTCACCGCCATTAGTGTGGACCAGTAAGAATAATCGTGGAATTATTGAAGGGCTTGGCCTAGCACCCCCAACGAGCACGGCATCGATCACGAGATACGTGGTGCTGGAAAATCATTGCAGGGATCTACAAGATCCAAGACAAGAGCAAGAGCAAGAGAGAAGCACATAGCATATCATTATCTCGTTAAGACCGAATATCGCTCGAAGCGGATGCGTACCTATAATACGGAGCAAAATGGGGAAACTATGGGGAAGTGGAGTGACCTAAATACCGGAATGTCCGGGTGGTGTTAGAACGACCATGCCGGTGTTCCTTTACCTTACCCACGGAGGGAGGTGGCTCATCCGGAGAGATTCAACTAACTTAGGTTCGGTATATCTTTTATCTTTTCTATCTAACATCATTCACGTACTGTATCACGAAATAGGTAGAAACAGTCCTACCTATTCTACATAACCCTCACTATCGTGCGCTACGACCAGCCGAGACAGCACTAAATAGTATACCTACGTAGTCCATGATGTCTTGGTCCCTTGGCCTTCCGAAACGAGTAAGGTGTCGCCTCGCCGCCTCATTCTATCCGCCTGCCGAGAAATAGACGTCAAAGTCACGCAAGGCCATGCAGAGACGTTCCCAGAGGGCGGAGAAAAGCTAACCAAGCTTCCAAGACCGCTTCTAGGTAACCCCCCTATCATCTCCTATCATTCGCCTAATTTCCCAATTACTACGCCTTATCAATTACCATTAAGAGGTATCTTCTAACCTATTAATCAGGTAGATATTTTCGTATTTTCCTAGTTTCGTAAACTACCACTCCGCGCCGCTTGCTTGGCGTCGGTAATCCTCCCCATGGCATGGCCCAGAGCCAATCCAATCAGCGCCTCCAACACGCATACTAATGCCCAATTCGCCTCACTCGCGTCGAGATGAGCCCTTGGCGGGTGCTGGGCGCCGGACTAAATAGTAATAATGAGTGAGCTTAGTAGGATTGGCGAGGGCTAGTAGGTCGTTCTATATCTATCCTCGTCCTGCCCACCATCTAGTTTCGGCTGCAACTTCTCAGATACCTTTTTCGGATTATCTTGTTTGGACTGTCAATACTAGCTATTAACCGACGACACGTGAATGGGTGTAGAAGACCAACCTGCCGTCGAAGAGTCGACTGAGCCCCCTATATGCGGCCCCATCAATGCCACGCCAGAAACTTCGCTCGGCCGCAGGAACCAGGAAGCTGCTGTGCTTCCAGACCGAAAGTCTCGGGAAAAGACAGTTTCTTCTTCCGTTGAAGAGAACCACCTCAACCCCCATACGTTGCCGATTAAGAAACTAGAACAAGTCCTTGAAACCGACGTTGAGAATGGCCTCGAGTGCGATGAAGCAGCTCGTCGCCTGGAGCGCTATGGGCCGAATAGGATGGAGGGCGCTCAAGGGCTATCCGTGTGGAAGATTCTCTTGAGGCAGGTGTCTAACAGCTTGACGATGGTTCTTATTCTTGTTATGGCTCTCTCATTTGCCATCAACGATTTCATCGAAGGCGGCGTTATTGCTGCCGTTATCTTACTTAATATCATTGTAGGGTACGTTCCAAATCCCACATCGTTAAGATCTTCCGTCGCAAGTGAAACATGCCGCCTTCCATGCTAATATGTAATAGATTTATCCAGGATTATCGTGCCGAGCAGACTATCCAGTCGCTCTACGCGTTATCCGCGCCGACGTGCAAGGTTATCCGCTCGGGACAGATCACAACGATCAAGGCCGAATCGCTTGTCAGAGGCGATGTTGTATTACTCAACGTCGGCGACATCGTCCCGGCAGATATCCGATTTGTCGACGGACTAAACTTATCTACTGATGAGGCGCTACTGACAGGGGAGTCTCTACCGATCAGCAAGCATCCGGAAGTTGTGCTAGACGATGTTGACGTTCCTCTTGGTGACCGCGTGAACATGCTATACTGCGCCAGCACTGTCACTCGCGGTCGGGGAAAAGGTATCGTAGCTGCTACTGGAATGGAAACAGAAGTGGGAAAGATTGCCCAGTTACTCCGGGCTAGCCCCAGTTCGACTGATAACATATCCAGAATAAATGCTTTTTGGAAACGCGCAAAGGCCAGCGGGCGCAGCATCCTAGGACTCGACGGCACGCCTCTTCAGGTTAAGCTGAGCAAGTTTGCCTTGCTCCTTTTTGCCCTGGCAGTCTTACTCGCCATCATAGTCTTTTCTGCTAGCGTCTGGAATATTGATGACGAGGTTCTCATCTACGGTATCTGTGTTGGCGTTGCTGTTATTCCGGAATCGCTTATTGCCGTCTTGACGATTAGTATGGCCGTCGGAACGAAGGCGATGGCCAAGGGCAACGTGGTTGTGAGAAAGCTTGCCGCCCTGGAGGCTGTTGGGGGAGTGACCAACATTTGTTCCGACAAGACGGGCACTTTGACTCAAGGCAAGATGATTACTAGAAAGATCTGGCTTTGCGATGGGTCTGCTGCTACCGTTGAAGCCTGTACTCATCCTTTCGACCCGTCCAGCGGAAGGGTTGCTTGGAATAGCCAGGAGTTAGAGCCGCAAGACGAGCTCAAATCTACATCTCACCTGCCCGCTGCCGCGAAAAAGTTCATGGAATGCATCTCCCTATGTAACAATTCCACCGTTACGGATGGTAAGCCGGCGCCTAGCGACGATGCAGCTGAAACCTTAACCACTTCGACACTTACAGTACCAAATTGGGTTGCGGTTGGTGAGCCTACTGAGATCGCCCTCCAGGTCTTCGCTATGCGGTTTGGTATGGGCAAATCCGCCGTTTCCCAGGCAGACGACACGCACATACTCTCAGAGCATCCATTCGACTCTTCCTGCAAACGTATGACTGTCATATACTCGTCAGCCAGCTCTAGCTCAGTGAATGTATATACTAAAGGGGCATTAGAAGTAATGCTGCCATTGTTAGACGCATCCGACGCTGTTAAGGCCGAGTTAACCGCCAAAGCTGAATCGCTTGCTGCCGAAGGTCTTAGAGTCCTCTGTATTGCTCACAAGGTCGTTCAAAGCATCGCCGACGTTGGAGATTCGCGCGAAGCTGCCGAAGACCAGTTAGTACCCTTGGGACTTGCCGGCCTCTACGATCCTCCCCGCTCAGAAACTGCCGATGCTGTTAGGAAATGCAAGGTCGCCGGAATATCTGTTCATATGCTTACCGGAGATCATATCAAGACGGCGACAGCTATTGCATACGAAGTAGGAATTCTCACTAGCGATGATCATATCGCTGGCCAGCCTAACGCCATTATGCCTGCTACTACGTTCGATGCCTTGACCGACGACCAGATTGACCAGCTAGATAAACTCCCGGTAGTACTCGCACGCTGTACCCCGTCGACAAAGGTACGCATGGTTGAGGCGATACATCGTCGTGGCGCATTTTGTGCTATGACTGGCGACGGGGTCAACGACTCGCCTGCTTTGAAAAAGGCAGATGTTGGCATTGCCATGGGATTAAACGGTAGCGATGTGGCCAAGGAGGCTGCAGACATGGTTCTCACTGACGATAATTTTGCCTCGATTGTGAAGGCCGTCGAAGAAGGCAGACGCCTATTCGACAATATCCAGAAGGTATAGAATTACATCCTACTAATAATATATGAACAACTGCTGATGACCATTAACTACTCAGTTTCTACTACACCTGCTGGTCTCCAATATTGCCCAGGTTATCCTCTTACTTATTGGTCTCGCATTCAAAGACCAAAATAATAAATCAGTCTTCCCGCTATCCCCTATCGAGATCTTATGGGCCAATTTGATCACATCGTCCTTCTTAGCCCTTGGCCTAGGTCTCGAGGAAGCTCAGCCAGACATTATGCTAAAGCCACCACATGATCACCGCATTGGTATATTCACCAAAGAGATCATTGTTGACAAGATGGTATATGGTTTCTTTATGGGCTCGCTATGTATTGCAGCTTTTACCACCGCCATATATACCCCCATCGAGGCCGGTTATCCCAAACCGCCACATCCCGGAGCGCTAGGCGTCGACTGCAACGCAGAGTACAACTCTTCGTGCTATTACGTTTACAGAGCGCGCGCTACGACTTTTGCTACTCTTAGTTTTCTACTTCTCGTCACAGCTTGGGAAGTCAAGCATTTCACCCGCTCGCTGTTTAATATGTATCCTGAGTCCTATACTGGCCCCTCTTCGATCTTTAAGACAGTCTGGGGGAATAAGTTCCTCTTCGGAGCCGTTCTCGCGGGTTTCATTATCACTTTTCCCGTCATATACCTACCTGTTATCGACAAGAGGGTATTCAAGCACCAAGGCATTGGCATAGAGTGGGCCATCGTGGCAGCATGCGTTGTAGTGTACGTCGTTCTGATAGAAGGATGGAAGGCGGGAAAACGGCGTTTTAATAAAGGGATTATCACCCATGCCGAATCAGCCAGGGCGGAGGTGTAGATCAGCACATAACTACTAGTCAAGGGGCCTTGGTATAACTATACCGAAGTAGTTAAATCATATCTGATAATCCAGATATTCCTAGGAGCCAAGGTGAGTGTAGGTACACAGTTCTATTACCTACCATCCGGTCATTACACATATGTTTCGTATATAGGAACATACCTATATGGTGCCTCCAAAGCACAGCCAAACGTACGCTCCTTCATAAGCAGGCAACGGAAGCTATATTTCGTATATTGGTGGGTTCTCACTCCCAGCAGTTGAGATGAGGGTGGAATTCATCAAGTTACTATCATTTATATAGATAAACAGTCGTTGTCATAACAATACCAACTAGTTTCATTCGTTGCTCTAAAAACCTCTTCGGCGAAGTCAATGTTTTTAATAAACATAGGTACCAAATTTGATATGGCAGAGTCCATATATAAGAGCATGAATTATTAACTACCTCCTAAACTACCTCGGTATTAACCTCTAACAAGCGAGAAACAAACTCGAACATCACTTTTCCTCCTATTATCGGCCGTGTTGCTTACTTTAGGACTACTGATCGTAGAGAAAGTAAAGTCAATGGACGATTGGGAAAACAGGAAGGGAAAACCCACGCATCAAATTCAGTGCCACTCCCTTCAATATGTCACTCTTCATAGCAAGTCTCGACGACCTCTAAAATAATTATCGCGCCGATAAAATAGCAAGGTGATACCTAACTGGTTCCTTACTATCGGCCACTCCCTCCAACTACTCCTTAGTGTAGCCGCGTGGTCGAATTACGTCGAGTTCATCTGGTGAAAAAAGTTCGGTAACATTTAACCTTGGCTCTTCTCGACACCCGAGACGTGAGCTCTTAAATGCAATTCGATCATGAAATCTAAATCGAGCGGAATTCGCATATTTGCCACACTTTCTTGTGCCGCTTCGCTATATCCAAGGCTACAACCAACATGGGATAGGTGGGGCATCCAATCGCGGCCCTCGTAAGGTGTGTACTTGATCTTGTTGATTTTCGATTGCAGAGTCTTTATGCTGTCCGTAATTTCAGGTGGCTTAGGTACCGGGAATAGTTTAGCAGCTATGAGTTGCGGGACTATGGACCCTAGCATCATAGTTTCACACTCTTTCTGTTGCGAACCTAGCTTGCAGAAGGGTGGCTCGAAAGATCCATCAGCAGAGGTATGTCGTCTGAAGGGTTTGTTTAGAGCATTCAGCATTTGACTGACGATCCTTAATCTTGCAGTACTAATCCATCCTAAATATAAAAGTTAGCCAGCAATCAAGAATAGAATCCTTGTTAGTATCAATTTACCGGGTAGGTCCTTATGGATGTCTTCCATACCGGACAATAACTTTCCCTCGGCGTCCACCAGTCGGCCATCAATTAGCTTGGAATTAAGAACGAGTTGTCTAAGGGAGTTGACGAAGAACGAAGCGTCACCTAATACCCAGGCAATGAATACGGCCTTGCGGGAGTCACGGTAATATTCTTTGGCGGTATCATATTTCCGGAGGTTGTTGACCCACGTCTCTGCCCAAGGATAGACTAGATGAGCACACCTGTATCGACTAATGGCGACCGCAATAGAATGGAGCTCATCTATAGACACTCTAGTCGGTACCTTGTTGAATTCATAATGAATGATACGGAAGAGGGTTATCAAGGCGGGCGCATCGCCATCGATGGAGACCACCCAATCTTCTGCGTTTGATCTCTTAACGGCATCATTGCCGTATAGCATGGTGCGCCACACAGGAGATGCAAGAGCAAGGTGAGCCGATGAGACCTTGCACACGATAGGGCTGTGATGAGTGCTGAGGGGAATATCAAGATCGCTGTCCATATCAAAGTAAATGATTGATTTCCCCATGTTGAGGGAACTCTCGGAATCAAAGACCGGATATTCCTCCCGGTGATGGCCGCCGAAGACTACGTCAGAATGAACCGAGATATCATCATCGATAGTCTCCAAGGCGGTTGTGATTTTATCAGTTTCGCTAGGAGAGACTGCTGGTTGCGAGACGTCGACCTCAGTGGAAATAGTAGTAGCATCATCACAGGGATCTAACGGCACATCAGTGCTCGTGGCGTTGAGCGGAGTCTCCTGAATAGAGGTCATTTTGGTGCAAATCCTCAAAATATCGGGCTGGTGTACAACCACAACAGAACGGTACGGAAAATAATAAGATCGATGGACTGCTTATAACAGGCAATGCGGCATGGGTCAGAGAAGATCTATAGTGAGAGTTGGAACGTTAGCGGCGGACAGGCAGCTTGATAGCACGATAAATTGTAGGCGATGACGATACACGCGATGACGATACACATCAGAATGAAAGGAAATATGAGAAGGGACAGCTGATGCCGCGAATGCGCCTAAAGGACTGCGAGGACTGGATGAAACTTACTGGACTACCCAAGTGCAGAAGGTATCAAACCAAGGGACAATAAACAGGTGCGTTGAGATTGTTGCTTGGACGTTGCTTGGACGTTGCTCGCGAGCCAGGAGGTGAAAAGAAATGGGTTGACGTTCAAAAGTACCTACCCAAGGTAAGTATCTTGAGTGCCTAATGTATGTAGAAGAATATTTAAGTGTTCAAACGTGAGTAGACGAGTAGACGCGGTAAATTAGGCAAGTCTTGTCGATTAACAGTAAAGGCAAGAGCCGGGAGGCAAAAACAAAAACAAGCAGGAGCGGAACGAACAAGAGGTAGGAAGGAACGAACAAGAGGCAGGAGGGAATGAGTTGATAGGTACCTAGGTAGGTATGTACCTGCCTAACAAGAAATATTCTTAGCCGATTTACTCCTCGCATCCTCGATTCATTAGTAGCAAATATTAGAAATGGTGTCGCTGTTAAGTATCTATTACATGAGGACATACGAGACATTATTACGAGATTCGATCCCCTCTCGCCCTAAGTCTTTACACCCAATTCGACTCCCGATGAGGTCGATGAGGTCCCTTCGGTGCTCTTCTGCTGAAATCAGTCTATGCCGCCCTATAATCAGCCTGTATACCAGTCCAAGAGAAGACTGTAGGCACATATAGTGGGCTTCAATAAAGCACCCCAGAAAACTCTGCGCGACGGCTAATAACACAAGCCGTTGAAAGAACAATACTTGCGCTCCCTGCCGTGAATTATGACGTACCCTCCCCTTCTCCGAGCAGACGGGCAATTAACACATAAACAAATATAACGCCTCCAAACACTAGTAACTTGTTGCGTCCAAGCCAACTAGTGCCAGCATCCCGTCGCTGCACAACGGCATCGACAACAGCTTGAGTCTGCCCGCCACTACCGCCGGCGATGCCTAGCTGTGGTCCACATGACGCTCCGCCATTCCTAGCTCCAGTTGTCGCGTCGATGTTATTCTCCGTCATCCACCGCCAGTTCTCCTTGTCTAGTTCGGGCCATTCTGCTCTAAACTTTGCGCCGCCATCTCCGGCCTTCACGTTCCCTTTCTGTGCCGGGTTCTTGGCATGTGAGCCACCTCCTGTTGAGTTCCACCACCTAGACCTGGCCGCGAATATTCGTCGCTCGTGCGCTGTAGCCGACACGGAACCTGTTGTCATCTCTTCCGAAGTCATGAAGGACAGCAGCCCGATCAAGATCGTCGAGACTTCCCATGCTGGATTGAAAGATCGCGGATGGAAATCGGAGATGGAAAGGCAGAGCCGTGTGGATGGTTGGAAGCGGCCGGAGGGTGTGTGCATCCGAATAGCTGGTGGAGCGAAGGGGTAGTTAGGCGGGAATATTAAAGTTCCCCAATACTGGCCATTATGATATGGAGTATCCTCGGGACCAGTTATGATATAGTGCCATCTTGTTTTTTTGTCAGCAATTTGCGGATAATTAAGGATATAGAGGATATGATTGGAACGTACTCGAGGATGTTAGATTCTGACGGATGGGCGCTAATATACGGAGGAGGGTTCTCGGATATGCTTTTATATTCACGGGCCAACTACAGTGAGAACATGTAGGTTAGATAGATATCCATGTAAGAATAGGGAGGGGGTTAGCGGAGGCATACGCGCTTGCTTGCTTGCTTGCTAGCCATGATGCGGTGGGGTGTGTTCTAGCGAGGGTATCTCTTAGAAAGGAAATGTGTCACGATGGCTGCAAGTCGCTTCGCAGTCGACGCAGTGAGGAAGTATAGGGTCAAATTGAATTCTATTAAAAGCAGACAAGAAGTAGATAGGGATTAATAATAAATATGTCCAGTGGAAATCTTTACTAGACGTGATCGCTGGATGGGGGGAGGAAAAAAGAAGGGGCTACGATTGAAGAGTAGTAGGTAGGATGAGGCTGATGATGACAAGAAAAGGCCCCTGTTAAAGAGAAGTGAATGAGAATCACAGGCTTTAATTAGATACGTACTTCGTACCTACCTGATAGATTTGGATTGCTGACAAAGAAAGTCTAAATTCTTTAAGTGGGACATCTGCAGAACATCATTCAGCCACACCTAAAGCTCAAAGCTCAAGTGCCACAAATTAGGTCATATCCCCAGGATCCACGGTTCCGGGTGGAATCCTTCCGGATCGTGCCGAGCTTCAGCTTTGGTGCGCTCTGTCGCCGACCCATCAACCTACATAGTAGGTCATTATCTACAATTCTCAGCCCGAGCAGTCTCTCAATCAAATCACATGAGGAAGATACATCACATAGCTATCTCTGCTAGCTAATATGGCTCGCAATAGCCTTACCGAGAATAATGATGTGAGATAAACCTGATTATTTTACAGCTATAGACCGTATAGTTAGTAGCAATAACTGACAAGTGATATAATCCGCAGGTTTTCGAAGGTCTTCTCAAGTCCGAGACTGCATCGGTAGAGCAGAAAGCGGCAGCAGAACGGGCTCACGCTCTTGATGCCCAATCCGAGCAAAGGGCAATCGAATTGGTAGGCCTCGTCATATATCTCTCCTATTCAGCTGCTTTCTAAGTTATGAGGTTATTGGTTGCTAATATTTATATTTATTCCTAGCTATTGCAAAATCAAACACTTCCCGTCACCCTCTCTTCTATCGAGATCAATGGCGCCAGGCATACGCGCGAATCATTCCTCGCCCCCCTATTCCAACCTCTCCTTAACGACAGCCGCAATGCCGACTACACTCTTGCTGATATGCTGGATCAAGTGAGTGGAGCAGTCGAGAAATTGCAGAAATTCGGTACGGTGTTAAATTATCCCCTACATTATTTTATGTCGGTTTAACATCATCTCTGAAGACATTTTCCACCCCAACATTCTCTTCCACTTGTCTCGGCCGCCCCATCTCGACCCGTCTTCCACTCCAACAGACCTCGATATTTCTCTTCGTGTACGCGAAAAGTCTCGACTCCTCCTCAAGACCGGCACAGACCTAGGCAACACAGAAGGTTCCGCGTATGGATCTATGTTATGGAGGAACATATTCGGAGGCGCCGAATCCCTTTCACTAAATGCCTCGGCTGGTACGAGAACACGTTCGGCGTACAGTGCCGAATTCGCTACCCCGATACAAAGCAATCCCAATTTGCGCTTTAGTATTGAAGGACTCGCTAGTAGCACGCAGAAGCCATGGGCAAGTCACGAGGAAGTTCTAAGAGGCGGAGGCGTCAAGCTGCACTGGCTAAAGGACAATGGTGACCGACATCAGCTTGGTTACTCCGGTGCCTGGAGGCAATTAACGGGCCTTGCGGCAGAAGCGAGTCCTACTGTTCGAGGCGATGCGGGAGACTCTACCAAGAGCGCTATATCTTACTTATTCCAGCGAGAACGGAGAGATAACCCTATGTTACCGCAAAGCGGATACCTCGTCAAGACGGCCACGGAGCTTGCCGGGTGGGGATCCCTAGGTGGAGATGTCGGTTTCTCCAAGACCGAGCTGGAGGTTGCCGGCGCAGTACCCATCTCTATACCCGGGATCCGTGGAACCTCTGGCGTATCCATCGGCGGCGGCTTCCGAGCGGGTTTACTTTATCCTCTTCCTTTGACGTACGGTTTCAGCGGTGCGTCGCCAAGCCGGATCAACGATCGGTTCACCCTCGGAGGGCCGACAGACGTCCGGGGTTTCTCACTAGGTGGTCTCGGTCCTAGGGATGGGAACGATGCCCTCGGCGGCGATGTTTTTGCGGCAGGGAGTGTAAACATGCTTATCCCTCTACCCCGGGTCGGACCTGAGTCTCCATTCCGGCTACAGCTTTTTGCCAACGGTGGCCGGCTGGTAGCGATGAAGAGCAAACCCGGAAATGGCGATAAGACGACCAACCAGCGCCTAAGCGCTAGCACGGTATTCGACAGCATGGTTTCCGCCACCAAGGACCTCGGCACCGGACTACCTAGCATCGCCGCTGGCGTGGGGCTCGTATATGCACACCCAATTGCAAGATTCGAGCTGAATTTCAGCTTGCCGTTGGTTATGAGGCGGGGAGAAGAGGGCCGGAAAGGATTACAAGTCGGTGTTGGAATCAATTTCCTATAATTCGACGGCATTATTCACGGACGGTATAAATAAGAGGGTATTTGATGTAAACGTCCGCTATTCTCCTCCCTATGTAAATAATTCCACCGCATCACCTTATGTCTACCGTCTAAGCATCCTTTCGAAACTAAGATAGACAAAACAATAGAAAAGCCGTACGACGCTTGTCATATAACTTGAAAGTATTTTGGCTCGAACAGAATTATGTCCTAGGGTCCAGACGATACTACGTCAAAAGCCTAGCAATTAATATCCTGACTTCCATCCTACTATCGTGCGTACCTTTGAACCAATTTTCAATAGTCAAAAGATAAAACGAACTCATGAGATAAGACACCGAGGTAGCTTTATTAATACTCTGTTCCCGCTGTAAGGTAGAAGTTGATATTCCATCAAATTGGAACTAGTGACAGGAGTGGAGATGAATATATAGATATAGATAGCGGGGTTATATTGCGTGATGATATTTATAGTAATAGAGTCGTTCACAACCTTCCTTCGTTCTCTATTCCGTTGTATCCAAGTCGAAGTTATGGCAGCACTCCACCCCGAATCTAGAATCATCATCGTCGGTTCAGGCGTATTCGGTATTTCAACAGCACTATGGCTCGCGCGGTCCGGCTACAAAGACGTGACCGTCCTTGACATGCAGGACACTGCCTCAGCAGCCTATGATCCATTATCAGGCATCGATTCGGCGTCGGCTGACCTGAACAAGATTATCCGTTTCAGCTACGGATCTGAGATTGAATACCAGCGCTTAGCTACTGAGGCTGCTGACATGTGGGACGAATGGAACCGCGAGATTGCCGCGGTATCCGCCGACGAACTACCGGAGCGCCTGAGAGAAGGCGAGAGGAAACTTTGGTGGAACTCAGGCATGCTACGGATGAGCTCCGAGACGGAACTAGGCGATTTCGAAATTGCAACGTTGGAAAATATGCAACGTGAGGGTATTAGGGAGTTCCAGTTTAGGAGCGATGATGAGGCAGGTAGGTTCAGGGCGTAAAATATATATCCTGATAAGTCATACTAAACAATACACTTTTCGACATGAAGATATCGCGCGGGCAAAAGAGAGAGGTTGGGCGCACAAGCTCGATCCCTGCCGACGCCAGGAGAGGTTCGGGACGCACAAGGCAGTTCTCGATTCCACCGCTGGCTTCGTCTATGCATACAAGAGCTGTGCTTGGGCGCAGCATCTTGCGAGGCAAGCCGGTGTTAAGATGATACTTGATCCGGTGCGTGGTAGAGTAGTCGATATTGTAGCAAAAGACAATCACCCGGTGGTGCTTACCGCTGACGGCCTCGAACTATCTGCCGATCTAGTTGTTGTAGCCGGTGAGCCTTTTATTTTTCTCTTAGTCACAAAGGTATATATATCGTCTACAATAAGATATCTGCTTACCAATAATGATACGATATAATAGGCGGTGGATGGACTCCGTCTTTGATCCCGGAGGTCCAGGGCTTGCTCGAGACTACAGCCGGTTCCGTAGCTAATATCCATATCCCAAAAGATCGGACCGATCTGTGGGATCGATTCGCCTCGGAGAACCAACCGGTGATAACTTTGGGTTCTCGACAAGGCAAGGATGTATACAGTATCCCAAGAGACAGAAATGGCGTTTTCAAAATTGGCTGGCGGAGCACAAAGTCAGATTCTCCATTTCATATCGTCTAGCAGTGCGACTTATATTGATATATTTCACAATAGGTGGACAAACTTCGAAGACGTCGGCGGACGGCGAATATCAGTTCCTAAAACCGCACACGTTACTGACCAAAAGGAGACTCGCATCCCGATTGACGCACTTAACGGTATCAAAGGTTAGGATCTACGCAAAACTCAGCTCCTAGTTCTAAACCGATCTATAACATCTCGCTAACCATTTCGTACGATAGAATTCATCACAATAAACTTCCCCGAGCTAGTCCCACTGGGAATCTCATCCACTAGACTCTGCTGGTATACCGACAGTATCGATAACTCATTCGTGGTCGACTTCGTGCCCGGGCGTCCCGGGGTTGCCGTCTGCTCCGGGGGTAGCGGCCATGGCTTCAAGTTCCTGCCTATCCTCGGCCGTGAAGTTGTCAAGATCCTCCAGGGCAAGGGGGAGCAGACGGTGTACGGCCGGATGTGGCGGTGGAGAAGCAGCACCGAGGCTAAGCGGAACGGACTTGAAGAAGGCGAACAAGGCCCGAGGGTACTTGCAAAGCAGAATATGGCCGAACAAGAGGACTGGAGGTTTACGGTCTGATGATTTATACTTGCGATAGCAATGCCTTATGTATAGATTTTGAACAGCTTTAAATTAGAAAATTTCACAATCAATAGGCCCACTGCTCGGAATCGGAGTTTGATTTCATAGAGCAAATATCCCGGCTCGCATATTACCTACCTAAAGAAGGGACGAGAATTAGTGAAATATGTTTCTATTACAACTTCAAATTAGGCATGGACTCAACAATGGGTAGCTCATTTCATACACATGAGCGTGGAAATGCCAATATCTTAAAGGCAGTATAGACTTCTCAGGGATCTACTTAACTATGGCTCGAATAGTAGTTAATCCGTAAACTCTGTCTTATTTCCTGGCTCCAACGAGAATTGTCACTTGATATGTACTTTAGTTAATCGACTTTATATCAAGTTTAGCTATATTCTACATCGGTT